CCCCCCTCCCTCCCAGGTCAGCCATAAGACCTCCTTCACAGCCAGCCCTCTTCCAAACGCCCAGCTGCCATTGATCCATTCATCTGCCTCCCAACTGCCCTGGCCCGGCCGCCCTGTCTTCCTGGTTCCATCTCTCTCTGTACAGCACCTCACCCCCACCCCCAGCCCAGAGGCTCCCCCAGGCCTGAGCACAGCCACCAGGGCCCACGGGGGCTGAGTGGGGACTGGGCCCAGGACCCTTCAGTCCTAGACCCCCCTGCACTGCCCACCAATAAAGAGTGACCAGCCCTGCCTCCCAGGCACTTCTGTCCTCAGAAAGCAGAACTGAGTGGAGATGAGTGGAGGGTGGTAGGTATCTGGCCTCCGGCTCCCTCACTCTCCTTTTGAGGCTCCCAGTGTCCAGTGTCCCTTCTCGTTGTCAAAATGACTCCCTGACTGAGAAGCAGGAGGATGAAAGGACACAGCCAAGCCCAGAGGAGGCAGCTGGATGCCTGGTTTCAGGGGTGGGCGGGCAGCAGGGGAGCTGGTTAGAGAGGGAAAAGGAGGGCAGCGCTGGGGGCAGAGGTAGGGGGACCCTCTACCTCTCCCCTTCCCAGATGGCAGGGCATCCCCAGGTCTGGATGCCTGGGGAGGGGTGCAACCCCTTGTGTGCCCACACTGAGGACTCAGGTCTGTTCAGCTTCCACCAAGTCAGGTGCTAAGTGCTTGACTTCACAGGAGGGCTGCTGACCTAAAGCCAGCCTGGCCCCACCTGGCGCCTATGGTGATTAGAAAGATATATAAATACATTCTTGTTTTATATAGACAGCATATTAAAAAGCAGAGACGTTACTTTGCCAACAAAGGTCCACAAAATCAAAGCTATGGTTTTTCCAACAGTCATGTATGGATGGTGTGAGTTGGATCATAAGGAAGGCTGATCACTGAAGAATTGATGCTTTTGAACTGTGGCGTTGGAGAAGACTCTTGAAAGCCTGTTGGACAGCAAGGAGATCCAACCAGTCCATCCTAAAGGAAATCAGTCCTGAATATTCATTGGAAGGACTGATGCTGAAGCTGAAGCTCCAATACTTGGGCCACCTGATGTGAAGAACTGACTCATTGGAAAAGATCCTGATGCTGGGAAAGATTGAAGGCAGGAAGAGAAGGGGATGACAGAGGATAAGATGGTTGGATGGCATCACTGACCCAATGGATATGAGTCTGAGCAAGCTCTGGGAGATGGTGAAAGATAGGGAAGCCTGGTGTGCTGCAGTCCATGGAGTCACAAAGAGTCCAAGATATGACTGATGACTGAACAACAGCAACAACAGCAAAATGGGACACAACAAGCTGTGTGATTTAGTGCCCTGTACCTTCACCCACAGGCAAACACAATGTCTTCCATATAAAAGCCCCTATATCTATCATCCCGAACAGTGGGACACTGGTTATCTCATCCACACCCATTTGGTCTCCAAATTCTGGCCTTATCTAGTGTCCTTCCTCTTACCCTAAGCATGGCCCACCCTGCCCACCCTCCCTGCTCCAGCTCTGCTACATCCCCTGGGGCTATGCCCAGGTGGTGGCCCAGCCTTGCAACTCTGCCCTCTGGCCTCAGGTCCCACCTGTGGCTTCTGGCTCAGGAGGTGCCCTGCATTCCAAATCCAGCTCTTCTTTACCTTTTCTCCTCTTCCTCATTCTTTCTTGTTGTTGTTCAGTAGCTAACTCTTTGGGAGTTAGCTCTCTTTGGGACCCCATGGACTGTATGTAGCCTGCCAGGCTCCTCTGTCCATGGAATTTCCCAGGCAAGAATACTGGAGTGGGTTGCCATTTTCCTCTCCAGGGGATCTTCACCCAAGGATCAAACCCTGTGTTTGATCTCCTGTGTTCTCTATTCTTGAGAGTCCCTTGGACTGCAAGGAGATCAAACTAGTCAATCTTAAAGGAAATCAACCCTGCATACTCATTGGAAGGACTGATGCTAAAGCCAAAGCTCCAATTTTTTTGCCACCTGATGCAAAGAACTGACTCCTTGGAAAAGACCCTGATGCTGGGAAAGATTGAAGGTAGGAGGAGAAGGGGATGACAGAGGTTGAGATGACTGGATGGCATCACCAATTCAGTGGATATGAATTTGAGTAAATTCCGGGAGACAGTGGAGGACAGAGAAGCCTGGTGTGCTGCAGTCCATGGGGTCACAAAGAGTTGGACACGACTGAGTGATGGAACAAGAGCAGGATGCCAGGACTCCCAGCCCCAGGTAGACACACAAGCAGGAACCCTGGCTGCCAAGGGTCTGCCTCCCCTCCACCCCTTATAGCCGGAGGCAGGTGCTCTGTCCCCAAAGAGGCACCAGCAGTGGGCACACACCCACAGGTCCCAAGTAGCAGCCACACCTGGAGCCTCCCTCAGCCTGGCACAAGCTCCCTCCTAGCGGGATGTCCCAGGGCCTTCTGCCCGAACTGCCAAAGTGGGTTCTTGGATTTCTTTTTTTTTTTTTTAAGTTGCTCAGTCAACCCCATGGAGTATAGCCTACCAGGCTCTATTACCAGGTAACAAATCACCACAAATGTAGCAACTTAAAACAGCACAAGTTTATTGTTCCCATTTCTGCAGGTCAGAAGTCCGGGCACAGCATGGCTGGATTCTCTGCTCAGGGCCTCAGAGGGCTGGTCCGGGTCCACTGGGGCCAAGCACTCCTCTGGGGCTCCTCTCCCAGCTCATGGGTTGTGGCTGAATTCTGTTCCTTCAGCTGAAGAATCAGAGTGCCCCTCCTTTGCTAGTTATCAACCAGGGGCTGCTCAACTTCTAGAGGCCACCGTGTCCCCAGTGTTGAGGCCCCACCCCAACTCCAAAGTCAGCCAAGTGGAATTCCCCCAAGTGGAATTCTTGTCATACTTGGGATCTGACTTCCTTCATCCTCCACCCAGAGAAGCTGTTTTTAAAGACCCTTGTAATTAGGACTGATAATCTATCTTAACATTAACTGCTTTGGAATTTTACTCACCCTCGGGCCTTTTTCCTTTAACTTGTTTGTCTCTGATCCTCAGATCTTTTGGAAACTTAAAACAGCAATCAGAAAACAGTACAGAGGCTTTTCTCAACCTCTCTTCAAGCTGACTCTTGCCTCTCTCACCAACTAATGTATTTTTGTTTGGTTTTTGTTTGGGTTTTTTTATTAGATAATATTATATAAATGAGGCTTATATGCACTTTATTTTCATGTTTTCTTTTCAATGAACCATTATTAAGGTGAAAGTGAAGTGAAAGTCAATCAGTCGTGTCCAACTCTTTTGCGGCCTCTTTATAATGCATGGACTTCTCCAGGCCAGAATATTGGAGTGATAGCCTATCCCTTCTCCAGCAGATCTTCCCAACCCAGGAATCAAACCGGGGTCTCCTGCATTGCAGGCAGATTCTTTACCAACTGAGCTATTTGGGAAGCCTGTATTATTAGGGTAATAGCATTTATTATTAAGAGGAGAGTGAAAAAGTTGGCTTAAAGGTCAACATTCAGAAAACTAAGATCATGGCATCCGGTCCCATCACTTCATGGCAAATAGATGGGGGAACAGTGGAAACAGTGGCAGACTTTATTTTTTGGGCTCCAAAATCACTGCAGATGGTGCCTGCAGCCATGAAATTAAAAGATGTTTATTCCTTGGAAGAAAAGTTATGACCAACCTAGACAGCATATTAAAAAGCAGAGATATTACTTAGCCTACAAAGGTCTGTCTAGTCAAGGCTATGGTTTTTCCAGTAGTCATGTATGAATGTGAGAGTTGGACTATAAAGAAAGCTGAGCACTGAAGAATTGATGCTTTTGAACTGTGGTGTTGGAGAAGACTCTTGAGAGTACCTTGGATTGCAAGGAGATCCAACCACTCCATCCTAAAGGAAATCTGTCCGTGGGATTTCCTAGGCAATAACACTGGAGTGGGTTGCTAATTCCTTCTCCAGGGGATCTTTCCAACCCAGGAATCGAACCTGTGTCTCCTGCTTGGTGAGTGGATTCTTTTACCACTAAGCCACCAGGGAAGCCCTTTATAAGACTTTATAGGTGTAAAAAAAAAAAGAGTCCCAAAAAGCCTTATTCCAAAAATTATAAACCAAAAATCAAAGTATTGACATTGGAAGAAAACTTAATAAGCCTCTTAGATAGAGTCTATAATTCACATGTCAAAACACCATGGAAACGACCAGTAAAAGTGCTGAGAGGAGTCCGCAAGTGACCTCCCTCGCCCTTCGGTCTTTGGTTTTCTGAACCTATGTCCCCAGCCTCACGGCCATGGCCGCAGGCTGCTCCTTGCCAAGTCCAGGGCTCTCTCTCTCTCGCCTCTTCCTCCCTAGCATAAGGTCTGCACGGCGGACACCTGCCCACCTGCACCTTGCTCCCTGCTCTCAGCCCCTTGGACCTCCTCACCCCCCTCTGCGCCCCCACCCCCTCCGCCCTCTGTGCTGTGACCGGCTCACCCCCAGGGTCTCACCTGCCTGCAGCTCTGAACGCGGGCCTGCCCTCTCCTCTGCCTCTGCTGCTGCCTGCAAGCCTCAGCCCCTCCGCTTCCACCTGACTGCCCCGGGCCTCGGCTCCCTGCGCCCCGGCTCACATGTGCTCCTCCCTGAGGGTCCTCATCCAGCGTCTCCCCAGATCCCCCCTGCGCCCCAATCCTGGAGTCCGGCTCCCCAGGCCTCGCCCTCACCTCTTAGCCCTCCTCCCTCGATCCCTTATTTTCCAGACGTGCCTGATGCTTTCTTTGCTCTCCTCCATAGCTTGACTCTTTCATCCTGTTTGTGTAAAGTGTTTCCCACCTCTTGGCCATTGCTTGGGATTCATAGATTTGTGGATGTATCCCCACCCTCACCCCTCCACAAGGCTGAGGGTTCCTGGCAGCAGCAGTGCCCGGGACACAGTGGAGGCAGTTGGGACTTGAGGTCCAACAGGCGGGCAGTGAATCCCAGCTGCTGGTTATGGAGCCAAGGGACCTGGGCCTGGCCACCTTTCCTTTTTGTACCTTAAGCTTCACCCTGCATCAGAAATGGGTGAGAGCACCTCCCAGGCTGCAGGCGGGTTTGATGGGCCTGTGGCCTGTCCACTGTCACAGGTGCTTAACAGACGTCTCTTCTCTTCCGCCCTGTACCGACCCACAGCGGCAGCTCCAAAGAAGTTTTGGAGGGTGAGGCAGTGAACAAATGAATGGCTGTATATGGGAGACACCTTACTCTGGTTGGTTGAAATGACAAGGCCACCAGCTTCCTCTAAATGGGGATTAGTGCTCTGTAGACTTGGAAGACAGGGAAATAGCAGGGGAGGGCTGTAGGGGAATGATGTCAGTAGAGCTCTTTTCTTTGGCAGAGCTTTATGTTTTCAGCAACCTTTAGCAGCAGGTGTAAGTGGATCGGAAGTATAAGTGTGAGGTCTGTGTGCCCACACAGAAAGGGGGCATTGTGGCAGGGACCTGGTCCTCTCAACACTTGGCTGTGCTCCTTCCTGGGAATCCTTCATCACACACAGGTTTATTGAGCATCTACACTGTGCTAGGACTCACACTGGGCTCAGGGTAGGCGGCACGGGGTAGAGAGGGGAGACACAGCCTGTGATCAAAGGGGTGATGACCGTGCGGGCTGAGTGCTGTGAGGGGACAGGTCTGGGCGCCTGAGAAGCACGAAGAAGCCAGGTGGGCATCTCATGCTGCCTCCCCAGAGGAAGGGACATCCGAGAGAAAGAGATTTCGAGGAGAAAGGTATCGGATTCCAGGCTCAGGGAACAGCAGTGCAAAGGGACAGAAGCAAGAAAGAGGCCCAAGAATGAGCTGGACTGTGAGGGGTGGGGGACAATGAGAGGAGAGAGGTGACCTTGACACCAGACAAGAGGTGGCCTAGAAAGCCTCGTTTTACCAAGAGGTGGAATTGTCCGGAGGACAGTGTTTGCCGCTGAATGGCTTCAGGCAGGAAGCCAGATTAATCTTTGAGAAGGAAAGCATCTCTCTGTGATGACAGGAATAGCTGGGAGGGGCCAGTAGTAGGAAGGCTGGTGGCTAAGAGATGAAGGCCTGGACCCAGGTGATGGCATTGGGGTGGGAAGCCTTTGGGATCTTGCTGTGTTCAGCCTGCATCCTAGGCTTGAGGCACCCAGGCTAGTCACCCTCAGCATGCATAAGGACCAGGTTCTTGTCTATTGCATGTCCATTGTTTCAGGTAAATAAATTGAGATTCAGAGAGGTTAAGAAATTTATCTAAAATCACACAGCTAGTGAGAGGCAGAGTCAGCCCGCAAGGCAAGCTGCTGAGCTGGTACCACTAACCTCTCCCCTTCTCACTTTGCCCCAGACTGTCCATATGCAGCAAGGAAGGAACTGGGTCAAGTGAAGAGCACACACTCCTCACCGTAGGACACTCCCACCCACTCAGCCAGAGGCCTTCTATGGCCAGGGACACACCCAATTCCTTTCTGGACAAGGATGGGCAGTCTTCCTTTGAAGAGGGAGACATTTTAGCCCGTTCCTCATTTAGCCACTAGAGCTTCACAGTTGGCTCAGATGGTAAAGAATCTGACTGCAATGCAGGAGACCTGGGTTCAGTCTCTAGGTCGGGAAGATTCCCTGGAGAAGTGAATGACAACCTACTCCAGTACTCTTGCCTGGAGAATCCCACAGAGAGAGGAGCCTGGCAGAGTCCATGGAGTCACAAAGAGTTGGAATGACTGAGCAACCAACACTTACACTTTCGTTTGGCCACTGTCTGACCCCTGCCAGGGACAGTGCCTTTCCCAAATGTAATACAGGACTTCTCTTGTGGTCTAGTAGTTAAGAATCTGCCTGCTAATGCTCAGCACGCAGGTTTGATCCCTAGTCCAGGAAGATCCCACATGCCTCGGGGCAGCTAAACCCTGGCGCCACAACTACTAAGCCTTCACTCTAGAGGCCACGAGCTGCAACTACTGAAGCCCATGAACTCTGAAGCCCGTGCTCTGCAACAGGAGAAACCACGGCAATGAGAAGCCCACACACCACAACTAGAGGGTAGCCCCTGCTTGCTGCAACTAGAGACAAGCCCTCACACAGCAATGAAGACCCAGTGCAGCCAAAAATAAATAAATAACAAAACTTATTAAAAAAGATGTGATACAATGAATGCTGCATCCCTGTAGCTTCTTCTCAGCAACTCCTGATGCACATTAACAGCTTAAAGGCAAAGGGTCCTATGATAAAAAAAAAAGTCACATAAAATAAGACCCTAGCATTTCATACATGTTTGTACTGATGTTTTCGAATGCAAGCTCTGGAGAAGACTCTTGAGAATCCCTTGGACAACTAAGAAATCAAACCAGTCAATCCTAAAAGAAATCAACTCTGATTATTCATTGGAAGGACTGATGCTGAAGCTGAAACTCCAATACTTTGGCCACCTGATGGAAAGAACTTACTCACTGGAAAAGACCCTGATGCTGGAAAAGATTGAAGGCAAGAGGAGAAGGAGGCAACAGAGGATGAGATGGTTGGATGGCATCACCAACCCGACTGACATGAGTTTGGACACACTCCAGGAGATAGTGAAGGACAGGGAAGCCTGGTGCACTGCAGTCCAGGGGTTTGCAAAGAGTTCAACACAACTTAGCGACTGAACAATAAAAACAAATACCTTTTTCATTAGGTAACATTAACAAATTTTAGTGAAGGCCATTCTAGACAAGGCGTCTTTGCTTCGTGAGGAGGGTGTGTCCTTGTGTATAGGTTACTTGTTATCTTTCCCTGCCATCTGCTGTAGCAGGTGATTGTGACACGTCTAGGCTTGCTTACCTCCTCCCTGGGCTGAGAAGCCTTCCCCTCCAGCACCCAGAGGCCCAGAGCACAGGTGGGTGGGGTGTTGCAGACTAAGTGCTGCTGAGCTTGCATCCTGGCATGGCCCCGGTGGGCCGTCCATGTGTTTGTCACAGCAGAGCCCGCCCCGGCACTCCAGGTCACGGGGCCCCTGGTAGCACTGGGCTCCAGATAGATGCTCAGCCAATGCCAGGCCTGAGACCAACCCCAGCTCTGACCATGTGGCCTGCTGTCTGGAAGGTGCTCTTGGCTGGCGGCCTTCCCTGAGCCTTATTTAGAGTTGTTCCAGGCATCTCAGACAGTAAAGAACCCACCTACAATGTAGGAGACTCAGGTTCGATCCCTGTGTCAGGAAGATCCCCTGGAGAAGGAAATGGCTACCCACTCCAGTATTTTTGCCTAGAGAATCCCATGGACAGAGGAGCCTGGTGCGTTATAGTCCATGGGGTCACAAAGAGTCAGATACAACTGAGTGACTACCACACACACAGAGGAGATCCAGGGACACCCACCCCTCCGCCCCTGTCTTCCCTGCAGAGGGGAGTGATCTCACACCTGTGTCAGGCTGAGGCGGGGGGCAGGGTTACCATCAGGGCAGAGACCCTGACCAGCGAGTGTGCCCGGCTCCATCCCCACTTGGTATCAGACCCCTGTGTGTGCAGTTTGCTCTCAGAGGATGTCCTAACCACCCAGGGCAGCTTGGAGCCCCATCTGAGCTCTGGCTTCAGGCCTGGGCCTGCAGCTCTGCCCCTCAAAGGCTGGAGGAGATCAGGGTCAAGGGTGACAGGTCAGCGGTGGGAGCTTCTTCTAACAGCCTGTTCCTGCCGGAGTGAGGCGCTCAGCCCAGAGCTGGCCTTGGACAAGGAAACACACACTGACTGGAGCCCGGAGACCCCTGGGCCTCGGTTTGCAGGGCTGCAGTTTATAAGCAAGGCTCTCTCCTGTCCAGAAGTTCCTGGGTTCTGATCGGCTCCTGCCACGTCCTGGGTCCTGCGGGAGGAAGATGCTGGGCGCCCCCTGCAGGCCTGTCCAGGAACTGACCCTCAAGGGGCCCAGGGGAGCCCTGAGAGAGGGGCCCCTTTGCTGGCCCAGATGAGAGCCCCCAGGACTGGCCAGCCCCCTCCCCTTCCGGGTGCCCAGCCCCGTTGCTGACTGTGAATCTGACTTCGGACCGCTGGCCTTTCCCTTGGCCTCCTCTTCCCATGCTGCACGGGGAGACCCCCACCATCTGTGCTATGCCCTTCGCCCTCACCCCCAACCCCTGCCAGGGCTCCACTGGCTTGGGCTCCCCAGGCCCTGCTCTAGTTTCTCAGGCCTGCACACTTGCATTTCCTCTCTCTCCCTCCTTCCCACTCCTCGGGGATAAGGAAGGCTTAATGACAGGGAGGGAAAGTTATGACAAACCTAGACAGTGCATTAAAAAGCAGAAACACCACTTTACCAACAAAGGTCAATCTAGTCAAAGCTATGGTTTTTCCAGTAGTCATGAATGGATGTGAGAGTTGGACTATAATTGCAGAAAGCTGAGCGCCGAAGGATTGACGCTTTTGAACTGTGGTGTTGGAGAAGGCTCTTGAGAGTCCCTTGGACTGCAAGGAGATCAAACCAGTCCATCCTAAAGGAAATCAGCCCTGAATATTCATTGGAAGGATTGATACTGAAGCTGAAATTCCAATACTTTAGCCACCTGATGCAAGGAGCTGACTCCTTGGAAAAGACCCTGATGCTGGGAAAGAGTCGGGCATCACCGACTTGATGAACATGAGTCTGAGCAGGCTCCAGGAGATGGTGATGGACAGGGAAGATGGTGTGCGGCAGTCCATGGATTGCAAAGAGTCGGACAGGACTTAGCAACTGAACAACAGCAACAACAAAGGACAGGTTGTGGGGAGGTGGCCCCTGAAGCTGTCCTAGACACTAGGGATCTGCGTACCCCCCTCCCAGGGGACACTGATGTTTTCCTGGGAGGAATGCTCTGCCTCTCTGAACTGTGTTGGAGCAAGTTCCACAGGCTGCCCCTGAACCCCCATCCCCCGTCCTGAGGGAGGCACGGAGACACCCAGGGGTGGGAGCCCCCCAAGGCACCAAGGGCCTCATCCAAGGTCAGCCCCCGTGACCACGGCATCCCCAGACTCTCTTCTCAAGGTAAACAGCAGCACTTGTTTTTCTCTTACCACCCCAGCTAACGCATGGCACAGTACCAGGGCCCAGGGCGGACAAGTAGTGGGGTGACCGGAGAAGCGGGGGCTGAGGGCTGTTGTCACTGCTGGGGCTCCAGGCTTCACGCCCGCCCTGTTGTCCCTTCTCTTTGGGGTCTCCTCCTTAAGGTGGGAAGCGGGGAGGGGCCCTGCAGGAAATAGGGGCACGAGCACAGCTCCTGATTAGGGAGGTCCCCGCATATTCAGTTCCTTTGACCTGAGGCCGTAGGGGTGGGGACTCACGCTGGAGCTCCCAGCCCTGCCCTGCCGCGCGTTCCCTGCCTTGGGCTGAGCTCACACAGCCCTGTCACGGGGCCATGCTGTCCTCTGCTGGGCGCGCCATGAAATGCAGCCCAGGTCAGCCCCAAAGTGCAGGCTGGAGACGCGGGGCTCCGAGGAGCAGGCCCACCCCCACCACCCTAGCCCCAGTGACATTTGGACTGCATGGAGAGACATCTGGATCTACCTGGCACACAACCGCGTGCCCATCCCCACTGCCAGTTTCTGGAAGCCACCCAGCCCTGGAGCTCCACGGTAAGGGGTCCCCTCCTCAGTCATCCAGTTCAGTTCAGTCGCTCAGTCATGTCTGACTCTCTGTGACCCCATGGACTGCAGCACGCCAGGCCTCCCTGTCTATCTCCAACTCCCAGAGTTTACTCAAACTCATGCCCATTGAGTCAGTGATGCCATCCAACCATCTCGTCCTCTGTCGTCCCCTTTTCCTCCCACCTTCAATCTTTGCCAGCTTCTGGGTCTTTTCCAATGAGTCAGTTTTTCGCATCAGGTGGCCAAAGTATTGGAGTTTCAGCTTCAGCATCAGTCCTTCCAAAGAATATTCAGGACTGATTTCCTTTAGGATGGACTGGTTGGATCTCCTTGCAGTCAGTCCAAGAGATTCTCAGTCACCCAGAGCCTGACAAAGACCAGACTCACCCTGGCCTCTCCTGCAGTGACCTCAGAGACCAGCCTCTGCCTAGGATCTGATCTCAAGGAGGGACCAGAGAGATCAGGGTGCCTGGTCCCATCTCTGCCCCATTTCTGGGTCCCCATCCGTCCCACCCTGCCCAGAGACACCCCCACTGCCCAGGAAGGGGGCCAGGGCCCTCTGCCCTCCTCACCCAGCTCATCTTGGGAATTGGGCCACTGCTGAGGACAAAAGCCAAACGTGGCTCCCAGGGGAGGCGGCTCCCACCTCCGTTGTCGACTCACCCCAGACGTAACCAGGGCCCAGGGGGAACCGGAAGGGAAGCGGAGCCCAGCAGCAGAGCAGGTCAGCTCCAGCTGCGTCCTGGCTTCCAGGGCTTTCAATCACAGAGTAACCAGAGCTGGCTGTGCATTTGGCCCAACACAC